ACACCCGCCCAGGCCAACCAAGCCTTCTACCCTCCGAGGACGGTAATTGGTACCAGATTCGTCTGGGAGGATAAAAACACTGACTTGTACATCGGCTGGCCCCCGTAAGTCATTGTATAGGCCACATCGCATTCAGTAAGTCCACTATGATTCTGAATGCGTGCCGCATCCTACAAACGGATCGATCAACGGCGAAGACTCTATCCTTTATCCTTTTAACGATAGGTGCGTGAAAGACAATCGTAATATGCCGCGCTGAGCGCTAGACGATTGTCTACTGTCTCCAGCAATGCACCACAGCGGCGAGATGACGCTCTTCATCAGTCACTTAATGCGTGAGATCTTACATGAACATCTAATTACGGTGCACTGATCTGTTTTCAGTGCTACACTAGGTGAGATTCCAAAGGGTCCTTCATACCCCACTTATACATATCAATTGGATACACCATTCATATATTTCATAACACGCTGATTCATGAAAGTGGAGGAAACCGCTACCCAACCTTTGTCAAGCCATGGAAAAGTAATGTTATTGTTATATGATTAACCAGGATGATACGTCTTGTACGGAAACAATTAGCATAATCGACTATCTAGAGAAAAACCTACAAAGCTACTGAAATCAACACTACACATGACATCAAATCAGTTCGGACGACCATGCCGTAATTTTGGACAACAAGTAAGAGTACTCTGTTTTATAGGGGTCCGAACTGCGACGCGTATTTTTCATTTGTTTTTATTTATTCGGAAACCGATCAAAAAGAGGAATATGCCAAAAAAGGAAAAAACTGCTGCTTTCACTCAAAACTTTTTACGCGCTTTGCCCCCAGAAAATACGGTAAGTCCTATATGAAACTTTCTACAGCATCACGCTATCGAGCTGATTGAAACCCTTCAAAAGCTAATCCATCCATTATTCACCGTTAATAGAACACTCCCGAAACTTCAGATTAAAAGAAGTAAGAAGAAAAGAAAGTAAACGGTAAAACTTATGTAAAAACTACAGAAGAATAAGCCTACCTGAACTCCAGACGACGCATCCAAAACAGTAACGATGCCATCGAGAACTCTAGCACATCGCTCGACTTCCACTGCCATGAAAGGAAATCGTTAGAAAGAGTGCATACAGCCAGCGAAAGAGGTTGCCAATCTAGCATGTGTATACTAACTAGTAATGCACCAAGCTTTGAGTTGAAGGCTTGGTCTCTACTTATGCAACTCTTTCCCTTACACGGTAGAGAAGTGCGTCCAAAATTCGCTCATTAGCACACCATCACCCTTCCCCTTCTTAAATATAGTAACCGCAACCAACCAATTCGTAGACGTAGTTCCTTTTTCAAGTAGTTTAACACGCAGTCTCTGTCCCACTTTCGCGGCTTCACAATAAGTAACAAAGGCGCTGCGGCCCTCATAAGTGGCAGTTTCTGACAACTCCCTAATTTCCCACCACCACAACTCAATGGCTATTTTCTGTCACGAATTCCTTACACCGCATTTTTTGCTTTTGTTTCACTTAGATTTCCATTTGTGTAGATGGTTTTAGCATGAGATGACGCGAAGAAACGATTAGAGAGCCAGCTGCTCGGGATATCGCTTTGCTGGCATAAAACGAGCAGATTCGGAAAGTTCGTGCAATGAGCCCATAGTTAGGGTGTTCTCCACGATTTTTTCCTTGCTTCTGTTTTCCCTGAAGATGCATTCATCGATCACAGGTTTGTAGCTGAACGCCACTATCCACAACATGCAATCACGGGGTTTCTTTTCAAGACACAAAGGCAAACTCAACCGCTGATGGCTCCATGCACCTAGGTGATAACCTCCCAGCCAGCTCGCTACGCCTTTTCGAGCCCCGAACTGGGGACTTCTATTGGGGTTGCGAACCCAGGCTACCTATTCGAAGGATTCGGAGAATGACGCTGCTCTAGCCACGGACCGGTATCTTTAATAGTGACTGCAGACCTGCGTGCAACGATCATTACTGCCCGATCCTTGGAAAAAGGAAGGGGGAAAAGGGAACGGATACATAAAAAGAGAAGACAATCGCATAATATAATGATGAAAATGAAAGCAAACAGCTCATCATTTTAGCATCTATCTGAACTTCGAAAACCCACGGCGAAGGTATCAGTCAAATAGTGTGGCTCTCCCACGGACTGACCACACTTGTGAATGGCAACCTTATAGCCCCTTCCACTCAAAGGGACATAAATAAAACACCAATTTGAACCGCTCTTATGCGTTTCATTGGAAGCTGACTACTGGAAATTAGAGGAAGGTCCGTCATGAACGCACTTCATTTAAACCTGATATTTGCGCGCTTCCGTGGAACAACGAGGTAACAAGCCTGAACAACCCTTCTGAACTTCCATAAGTTTGCAAGCCTGAAAGATACCTGTGAAATCAACGTGGCCAGGTGTGTCGATAAGATTAATCCTATGCTTCCTCCAACCAAATGTTATTGCGGCGAGTTGTATGGTGATTCCTATAAAGAGCCCAAGATGGGTCATGTGAAATACGGACAAAAAAAGAGAACTTTGCAATAAAGATTAGAAAGCATCGCGAACCTCGTTCTCGCTCCAAGTCCAGAAAGTCTGTGACAGTGTTCCCGGAGTCAACATCGCCCATATGACGGATAACTCCAGCCAAATAAAGCATGCGTTCAGTAAGCGTTGTTTTACCAGCATCGATATGAGCAACAATACCGATGTTTCGAATATCCAAGGGACGAGTTTTCGTGAGGCTTTCTTCTTCCTGGAAGGGTTATATTTTCGGCAAGACTTCCATTCAGCTCCATTCCACAACATACCTTGCATGCCTGCGAAAGCCATCGCCTTGAGCTTCTTGTTAGCGTGCGTAGCCGCCATGCATATCTCATCGGAGCACAGCGCCTAATAGTACAAGACAAGTTTGCACAATGATGGAAAAAATATTGTGTATTCATAACGAAAATGATGAGGTAGAATTGATACGCTCACTTTGTTGGTAGTTGGGAGGAGCTATAATTGAACAATTAAAGAAAATCGTTGTAATGAAATGGTAGTCAAGGTAAGGTGACCAGATTGGTCGTTTGCAGTTCAACCGATTGGATTCTGTTCAACAAGTCAGTTCTGACGAGATCCCTCCCTCTAGGGTTGCCTGGAAGAGGATGAAGTTACCGCCGCACTCAACCTCATTCAGAACCGTAGTGGTCTATGTATGTGCTGCGGCCTGCACAATGACTTGCGACGGCCACATGTACATGCTAGAGTTCTTAGCCTCCCCTACGAATCTGGTACCAAGTTACCGTTCCCAGGAGTAGAAGGCTTGGTTGTCTCGAGCGGGACAATCCCGGCGCAGTTCGGCGACGGGGGGCATCTTAAGCTTCTACTGCTTCACCTGTTTACAAGTCTCACTCTGGTGAAACTTGTGAACTCTTGTGAAGCTGGAGCAAGATCGTCTAGCCACCATGGTAAACGTGTCAACTCGAAGAAAAGGCTATCTAGATGGGTCGACACATCGATGGGAAGCAAAATGCCCCCCCCCCCCCGTCGCCGAACTGCGCCGCCAATCCCTTAGGCAGCGTTCAGACTTCGCGACAGCAGCGCTTCGGTCGCGCGTTCGATGTGCAGTCGAAAGCATGCGCATCGATCGTCGAATCGCGCGACCGAAGCGCTGCCGTTGTGAAGTCTGAACGCTGCCTTTCCCCGGACCGAGCGCGGTAAGCGTGCCACTTGCCCTACACACCGCCTCATTGCCAGGCGCCTCAGCGTTGGTTGTTCAAATGATATCATAGTGGGATAGAGAAGACATCGATTTAGGCGACACTCAAATCATAGCATAACACCTGTCCAGAAAATAAGCCCATTTGAAGCAGCCTTCAAAGTCCACGCTTTCCACACAGTACGCATTTTCAGAATCGTTGGTAGGGACGCTTATACGTATCGTAGCGAGCTAGGAATACTGTCTGAATGGTAGGACAACTAGCGCCGCACGGAATAACGAAGATCAGGAGTACTAAGGAAAGGATTCGATACGTAATGACCGAAAGAATCGGGGAATAACAACGCAACCTGAGACCAAACAGTATACT